TGGACGATGAAACAGGAAGTAGAGACCAAGCATTTCTCTCTCACTTCAGAGTAGACGGCTCTCTCTCGAGGAAAAGCACTTGTGTGATTGTTCCAGTTGTGAACCAAAATTTCCACGGGATACTATTTTTACATAAAGTATGACTGAAAGGTAAATTGCATGTATTCAGAAGTGTATATTTGTAGAGATTTTGCTGAAAATGAAGGAAGTGAGACTGTCACTTCAAAGAAAACTGAAAGTATTTATTACCCATGATAAAAATCCAAGCAAAATTGGAAATTGGAAAATTTTTCCTCCATTGTCAATTAGATAGCATTCCAATATTTGAAGAAATTTCCTATATTATCAGTGGTGATATTAAGGTATATGATTTTTAATATTATATAATGGAATGTTTCAGCATTTGGAAAATTAACATAATCCAGTAAACCAATATTTTTCAGATGATCAAGGCATGACAAAATGATGCATGAGTAGCAGATTATTTCAAAGTGGAAGATAGACCAATTGATTTTAATGTAACAGAGCACAAAAAATTCACTGATATGATTTCAATTTCCATATTCCAACTAACATTTAAGAAAGAAGCACTTAAGTTTGGGTTTATTATCAAAGAAAAATAACCACAATTATCTGTAAAGGCCACTAAAATGCACTTCCTTTTTCCAACCACAAGTGTAAGGCCACATTTTCTTCAAATACTTCAACCAAAAAACATCGCAACTTACCAAATGCTAAAGAGGATATTAGAATCCAAATGTCTTCTTCTAAACCAGACATTAAAACTAATTGCATAATGTAAAACAAAGCCACTCTTCTCATTAAATATTTTCTTATTTTACAAGATATAGGATTTTTTCTTAAAAAAATTGTTGCCATATAACAGGTTTATTCTTATTTTAAATGAATTGATAAAGGTTTTTAAATTTTTGTTTTAATTTCTAAGCGATAAATTGTGATAAAGACAACACACATAAATAAAAGTTCTTTGAATCCTCAATAATTTTTAAATGTGTAAAAAAGTCCTGAGACCAAGAAATCCGACAACTGTGCCGCTAAATATAAAGTGATAAGAGAGAGTACTGGAGAAATGGTGGTCCTCTATAACTGAAAAGTGAAGAGCAAGATTCAAATAGAGATGAGGTTCCAGATTTTAAGAAAGACATTTAGATCCATGGCCCACTTAAACTAGCTGCTTAAATGAATTATTTGAAGCAGTTGGACTCATCGACACAATCTGCAGGCCCTTAAAAGAATCAGGTCCTGTAAGGTCAATTCTGTGCTATTAAACATAGTGTAATATTTCTGATCATTCTTCTTGCTAATCTCCAGGCCACATACAACAAGATATAAAAAGCCAAAAGGCAAAGGATAAATTCTTTCATATACAAGTTATCCTGCAAAACTTCTTTGAAGTTGATTCTCATATTTTTATTTTACAGAACAGGAAACCAAGTATCAGGAAGCATGAGCAATTTTAGCTAAGTCACAAGGAAGTAAATAGCAGAGTCTAGATTTCAAGCTGCTTTTTAAATTTAAAGTCCAGGACTTTGGCCCACTCTATCCCAGATGTCTCTCTTAGGTTTATCAGGTTGAGGTAGTTGTGAAGTATTTTCTTCTTTTTTGTTTTATTTTTACCACATAAATGAGAGTACCTATTCCATTTCACTGGATGTTTACACAACACTGCAGTGATCTAAGATAACGTTGTATCGTAATGCATTTACGTTCTCATTAGTGATACCGATTTAGATGTTAGGTAACATAGAAAATATCTGTAAACAAACACATAAAATATTCTTCCAGTGAAATCTTGGATGTTCCCTTTTTTCATGTGCTTCAAACCACTGTAATAGCTTGACCCATAGTGTTTATGTCTGTATTCCTCATTAACAGCTGTTTATCATGTGTTCTATTAACAGCTACTCTCAAAAAAATCAGGACAAAGCTATCAAAATAAGTATGAGATGATGGCAATTATACAAATAACTAAAGCCAACATATTTTGAAATACAAGGAAGAGGAGTGACTTTTAGCACTTGCCTGGGATTCATCCTCACTATTACTAAACACATGGCTTTGGAGAAAATATTTTAATGAAAAAATGTTATATAATATGGCTTTTATATCAATGTTAAATGTTGACTGAAAGATAAGTTTTTCTTTCTGCAAATAGAAAATCTAGTCTAAGCAAAAATTATCAACAAAATGGCAGATATTCCTATTAATCAGATAACATATGAAGCCTCAAGGAAACTACAGGTTATATGGTTAGAATCCATGTTATATAAAATAATTAGGCTTGCAATAAATTGACTCATTTATTTACAGCCCATCTCCTTTCACAGTAGACTTGAGACAACTCTGGTCAGAAGTATAATATAACAAAATAGGAGGAATTTGAGGTCCTTTTATACTATATATGAAGAGGTATTAATTTATTATTTTTATAACAGCTCTTCTCTGGGATTCCCAAGACTGAAGATATTTGAAAGAGATTAAATTTTTTTCTTCTTTTTTCCAAGTTGTGTATTGAATAGATGGGAGATACTGAGATGTAGATGTTAGTACAATTTAAGGAAAGACTTGCAATGATGTCCAGAAAATCCTACACTTAAAATAGACATAATAATTATCCTTAATGAAACTGGAGAAAGAGTAGTAGAAAAGGAAAACATCAAATTACGGTTAAAAATATATAGCTGAGTGTCCAGCCCGGTGTTGCAGTGGTTAAGTTTGCACATTCCTCTTCAGTGGCCCAGGGTCCACAGGTTCACATCCCAGCACAGACCTAGCACCACTTGTCAAGCCATGCTGTGGTGCAACCAACATAAAATAGAGGACGATTGGCATCTATGTTAGCTCAGTGACCATCTTCCTCAAGCAAAAAGAGGAAGACTGGCAATAGATATTAGCTCAGGGCCAATTTTCCTCACAAAAAACAAAAAAGAGAGAGAGAAAAGAAAAAAATACATATAGTTGAAATACAAAGTTCAAATTCCTTCTCCACAGAATGATTACACTTTTTGTAAAATAGAATGAAAAACAAATAATATTTCCAGAAAAGGACAATGGGAATTGAGTTGCTCTTTGACAGTAACTCTAGAAGGAAAGTCACATGGCCAGTCAATATGTTTACACATTTAAATCCTGGCTGGTGAACAGAACACACTGAGTTACAACGGACAAAATGGTACCATAAAAGTATTCATAAAAGTATTCATAAATGTATTTTGTTTTCACACTGTGCCATTTAAAAATCGCCCAGATTATTTCAGATGATGTTATTGTCTTAGTCAGTTTGAGCTGCTGTAACAACATGCTGTAAACTGAGTGGCTGATAAGCAACAGAAATTTATTTCTCACAGTTCTAAAGGCTAGAAGTCTGAGATCAGGGCGCCAGTATGGTCAGCTTCAGGTAAGGGCCCTCTTCTGGGTTGCAGACCGCCAGACTGCTGTCTTCTCATTGGACCGTCACATGGCGGAAAGAGAGTTAGAGAGTTCTCTGGGGTCTCTTTTATAACGGCAATAATCTCATTCATGAAGGCTCCACCCTCATGACCTAATTACTTCCCAAAGACCTCATCTCCTAATACCATCACATTCGGTGCTAGGACTTCAACATATGAATTTGGGGAGAACACATTCAGTCTGTAGCATTTATGAAACACGATAATTATTTTTCAATTGAATTAAAATATATATGTACATATACATATATATTTAATACACAGATCTGGGGGAGGGAGTCCACTATGTATTAAGTACTATATAGCGAATGGGCCTGCTCTCAGGAAGCATAAAGCTGGGAGGGTAAGTAAAATATATAAAGTAGGAAGTATGCATACGACAGATGACAGAATCACCATTCCGAAAGATCTTGTTTGATTTGAATCATGAACTGGATCTAACAAGATGTAATTTAAAAATAAAAAATTTATGGTGTGCTCAGATCCCTCTAGAAGAATTATAAATTTATAGGAGAGGAAAAACATGACTCATCAGGTATAAGTAAGTTTCTGTGTTCTAAGTAATTGTTTCTGTCTTTTTTAAATTCAGCAGCTGGTCCAAAGTAGACCTTTAATAAATATTTCTTTAACTGATTTGTATCATGTTTAGGGAATTTTGTCAATACTCAACCTAAAGAGAGTCAAGACAGCAGTGTGACTTCGAAAAAAAAAAAGAGGGAATGGGACCCTTTGATACCTGTATTCACAGAAAGAGGAAGTTTATAATCTTGTTTAGTTTTTATTGGTCAGACCAAACTTAGGGCACTGTTTTTAGCTCTAGAGCTGTACCTTAAGAGCAGATACAAACTATAATGTGAATAGAAAAGAGGCAAGGCTACTGAAAAAACTCAAAACCACATCTTATCAGAAACAGTCGAAGGAAGACAACATTTAACTTGTAGAAGAGACTACTCAGTTGTTTTCAAATATAGAAAGTGTAATAATGACAGTTATCATTTATTAAACAACTACTATTGCATTGTGCATCTCATTTAATCCTGTTACCAGACATGTGAGGTATTATTAACATGTTTTTGACATGATCAGAAAACTGTCACTGAGTGAGGTTAAAGTAACATATCCAAACTCATAGCTAAAAAGTTACAAATCTAAGATTCACAAAATGATTTGACTCCAACGTCAGGTCTTATTACGTTGTGTCTATTTGTTTTTCATATGAAGTAAGCTTGTACCGGTTCTGTCTGTCCTCAAGAGACTAAACAATGGCAGGGAATTTCAGTTCAATGTGAGTGAGTTGATATATTAGTTTATAGGAGAATATGTGGCAAGGTATTTTTATTAGTCTCCAGATCTCTATAACCTTTTATTGTTGAAATTAAATGCTTTAATGTAAGAGGATTAAAATAATACTGAAATTGGCAAAATAACCTATGATTAGTAGAGTTTATCTATGAGTTACCTGTTTTCAAGAAAATGATAAAAATAATATTGGAATTAAATGTTCCCTTCAAGCTCCCTAACCCACCCTTCTCCCTGCTCCCCAAGAGTGTGACTTTCTATGACCAACTGGGGATATTTAATGCTAATGTTTATTGTTAAAAGATAAATACATGCTCAAACATATACATATACAGAAATGAAAATTACTTCAGAATTAGTGTTAATTTTACAACAAAAATCCCTTAACCCTGGTTGATTTACAAATTTATTTCTAAAATAGAAGCATTTGTGGACTTAAAAGTGAGGTATCAAATTTTTAAATGTATTAATTCCTCAACCTTGTGTGGACCACTTCAGTTCCAGATGTCTATGTAGTTCCCTCTGGGACCTCTACACTAGAAAACAGACAGAAATAATGCAAAGTTGTTTGGTTTTGACAACCTGATACTGAGAAGTGCATGTCCCTGTAGGCACTCTAGAGATAAGACAGATAATTAGTAATTCCAAATGGATCTATGAGATTTAAGATGTGGAGGATCATCATTATCTTTCACTGGTTTTTCTGGATGCCATAATCCTCTGATTTCTGTAACCAATTTTTGTGCTTCTTTCCCACTGGGATGGAAATCAAACACAACTAGAGTGTCTACTCTAGGAGAAATTGAGGGATATGGAGTAAAGGCAATAGGCTCCCCCTACAAAAGTTTGTTTCTCATTTCTTTTTCAGGGAAAGGCTCTCTCTTGTTCAGGCAGGTTTCAAGGGTTGGAAATTCATATTTAATGATATGAAAACATGGTTACCTTATTGTGAATGTGCAGGACTAAGGCAAGAAGGACTAAATAAGAAGATTTTGTGTCCCCTGTCCCAAATGATTGCAGTAGGTAGTACTGATGGAAGAACATTGGGGTGTTAGAGTTGCCCTGGCTGTGTCAGGCCAATGTCTTTCCTGTCATACTGTACAGAGAAAATGGCACTGGAAAAATGGAGTGATGTCAAACTCCCTTTTCATGCTTTACTGTTACCAAAAACTCTGTCTCACTCCCCACCCATTCCCTCCAACTCCTTTCCCGATTCTGTCCCTCCTTAGAGATGTTTGCACTGCCCGTGCTAAGTGGGGGGATCAGTCCGTTGGATCGCTTTGCGCAAAATCCACCCTTCTCTCTCCTCCCTCCCCTCCAGCCTCTGGATCCTGCACAGCCCTCCCTCCCCTCAGCGGTTTGGGGTTGGGGATGTTTCTCTCTGAACTACTAAGGTTGGAGGGGGCTGCAAGCAGTGGATAATGTCAGATGCTCAGCTATCCCCTTCTGCTCCTCTCTGGCTCCGCCAGGGATGGTCTCTGTAAGAAACAGCAGGAGCTGTGGCAGCAGCTAAAGGAAGCGGCTGAAGCGCGTGGAACCAGAACAGTCCGGGCGCTCGCGGTTACCTCACATCGTGGTCACAGCCGGCCGTCAGCACCATGGACAGCAGCACTGTCCCCGCAAACGCCAGCAATTGCAATGATCCCTTTACGCAGTCTTCAAGTTGCTCCCCAGCACCCAGCCCCGGTTCCTGGGTCAACTTCTCCCACGCAGATGGCAACCTCTCCGACCCATGCGGTCCGAACCGTACCGAACTGGGCGGGAGCGACAGCCTGTGCCCTCCGACCGGCAGTCCTTCTATGATCACAGCCATCACAATCATGGCCATCTACTCCATCGTATGCGTGGTGGGTCTCTTTGGAAACTTCCTGGTCATGTATGTGATTGTCAGGTAAGGAAGGTGCCAGGGGTCCGAACGGAGATTTCAGCAGCTAATAGGGGCAAAAAGGGACACCTGAGTCCCCAGACCGACTGTTTGGCGGGAGGATGAGAGAAGGGAGGTAAACAGTGGAGAACGTGGGAACGACAGTGGATAGAGTGGTTGCTGTTTGAGTGCAAAAATCTACTTTTCTATTTTTCAGGAACAGAGAAGTTGCTTTGGTAAAAGCTATAAAGCTCTGGCAAAAAAAATTCTCTACCTTAGAGCTCACTTATACTGAGTCAAGAGGGCTCTTGGGCACAGAGCCCCTCAGCCTTTGGCAGGAGCTGAGGAAATCGTAATTTATGAGTAATGGAAGAGGAATTCTAGTTCGTTTTCCCTAATTGGAGGGCCAGATCTCCTTCTCAGTTCTTTTCAGAGATGAACCTTGGCAACTTTCCTACTCCTGCTGGTTTGGGTATACTTTGCTCCACCACCGCCCCACCCATCCCCTTCCCTGTCACAGTAGCCTATACTCCCCCTCTTCCCTCCATCTTGAGGCCACACTCATAAAGGAAGTTTTCCTGCTGTCTCTCCACAGTAAATAGTGTTGCTTTGTTGTAACAAACATGACAGTTGTATTGCCTAGAGCAGTCAGCATCTGTCAGCTGCACATCTACTAGGAGAGTCACAAACTGAATCCGAAATAGGTAGTGCAGTTCAGGAGAACCAAAGGACGTGACTGTTTTTCAATGCCTCCAAAAGTGAGAACCAGTTGGAAGTGACCAAAAGTAGCATAATTCTGGATTATAAACTATGATATAGGAAGTTGTAATGGTTGATCTGAAAAAAAGAAAAAGTGTTTTAGTCCACTTAAATTATATCGAAAGAGTTTGTGGCCCACCTTCTATTTAGCCAGAAATTCCAAGTTTATTTGGTAAAGAGTGTGCAAGCTCTCAATATTAAATGATTTAGATTGTGTTAGTGTTGATGTGTATATTCAAGTCCTACATGTTAATATGGAATACTATATATTTACTTTTGTTAAAGTAGATAAATATTTTAACACTTTAAAATGGCTCTTAATTTGGGGTCTTCTTCCTACTAAGGGTTCTGCGTATGTAGTGAACATGGCATTTTCATATGTAGCTACAACATTTGCTTCATCTGTTCAGCAATATTTCTGGTTTCAATGGAGATCTTTAATCATTAATTGTTTTCCCCGTTATGCTTTCATTATCAAGGTACTGAAAGTTGCTTGCAATCTATTCTTTCTACTTATATATCTGATTTCTTTAATTAATAATTGTTAAAGAGTAAAACTAATTTTCCTGATGGCCTGATGAGGAATAAGATAAGTAGCGCTCTCTGAGAAAAGAGCACCATCTATTGAGGAAAAGGCTAACAACAGAAAAAAATAATCCAGGAAGAGAATCAAGGAAGCATTTATTTTTTAAAACATTTACTTTATGTTATCCAATACAAAGATTCATATCAAAGATAAAAACCATGTCTCATTCTGCAGTTATGGTAATAAAAATCATAACTAAAGTCTTGCCTTTTGAAGGGAAAATATGTTTCTCATTTTTCCTGGGAAAATTCATAGAATAATAAGCTTATAGGGCTCGAAGGGACCTTAAGGATTCTTTATATGAGGTGAGTAAACTGAGGCACAGAAAATAGAAATTATCTCTCCAAGGACAGATAGTCCATTAGCTCAATCCCACTGAATCTCTCTTAACCAATACAATCTTCCGTTTATCAGGATGGCAAATCATGATTTGAGTTAATTCAACTAAAAGGTTAACAGAGTAGATTTAGTTAGCAGGAATAATGTGGAAATAATAAATTATCCCAAATTTGTGTCCAGGATCCTAGAGAATAAGGATGAAGAGAAATTACCAAAGCATCTAGAAATCCTACCATCTGAGACATAATCTTTCATTCCTTTTTGTTTCTTGTCTTGGTATTTTCCTCCCTCATTTTTCTCCCCTCTACTTTATACTTTTCTGTAAAGAAAGAGCCAGTGGAGCACCAACTGGCTGTGAAATAAACAGATTTGTCTTATTCCAGTGTTTAAGAGATTGCTAGTTGGGTGAGTTTGTTTTAAAGGCATTACCTCTGACTTCTTCATGAGCTGGAGAAGGAGGGTGACCTTATATCTTACTGAGAACATGATATTATGCTTTCTTTCTCTGTACTTCAAGTTCTAACAAAATGCAGGATGATTTAAAAGGTCACCCCAAACACCCACCTGTGGCAAGTCAGGTGTTTAATTCCAAGGTCAGGTAACCCTTTGGGAATATGACTGTGAAACAGAAAAATAGACAGTTCAGTGACCAAAGAAGTAAGGAGGAAAGCATCTGGAGATTGAAGAAAGTATGTCTATTTAGCTGAGAATGTTTAACTGGACTGCCTTCAGGCTGTGATGTTTTCACTACCAAATGGCCAGTTCAGAAATATTACTGCTCCTGTTAAAAAGAGGAGTATAATGCTGCCTCTATTAAAGTATTGAGGTGAAATGCTCGTCTTTTAGATGCTATTATTTAAAATTCAACAAATATTTTTAAGTGGTCAAGTAGTTACAGTTTTCTAACCAGATTAAGGCAATGTTTATTGGAATATCTTAATGCATTGAGTGAATTGTGAGGCTCAGATGGCTATGATAACAAAAACAGCAAGAAAAATAACTGGTAATACAGGTGTTGTGATTAAGGCTTTTCTGTTTTGTGTCTCAACTCCGTCATCATCATACCTACATCAACAACATTATTAAATACTGTGACATAGGTAGAATTCTTACGTGGTGCTATTCTAAGGAACGCAAGGGAGGAAAAGAGATACTGTCATATGACTTAAAATCCAGATGTTAAACAATACAAATGTTATAACTATTCATGGCCTGAAAGCATTTTTGGTTTTAAAGAAAAAAATTACCACAAAGATTCTGGAAAATATGGTGATAAAAATATTATAAGATGTAGCAGTTAAAATGGGATGATAGTATATTATTGTTAAGTATGTTTTAAGGAAAAAAATCAATCAAAATCACATATAGTTATAGCAGGAATATATACAGGAATATTTCGCTTATTGAAAATATTTGACCAAAGTATAGAATTAACTATAACTATAAAAACTAATATAGTCCCAGATGTGTTTATTTTGTGAGTTTTTTTTTCAAAAAAAATTTCTCCATGTAGTCGTGAACATGGTCTATGCAGACACTGATGAAACAGGTAGAGGGTTAGAAACTTAGATTTTTGTGGGCTGTGTAAACCATCCCTTCAAGTAAAGTTCCAATTAAGAGTACCAAACGATACTGCCTTCATTTTCAAGCTTATTGCTTAATTTGGCTAGATTAATTCTCAATATGACTAGTTATCAGAGAAGAGCATTTAAATATATGGAAGGTGTTATTGTCATTTTTCTTTCACTAAAAAGTATTTCTGATTTTAAAACAAGTCCTATGAGCTTATACTTGCTCTATATACTAAATATTTGATTCAAGTTTAAACTACAAAATGATCAGTCAAGCCTGATTGGAACAGAGGTACAAGGTTTTTACTTAATTCAGATATAAGCAGCGGAGGAAATAAGGAATAATAATGTTTTATCTAACTTAAGGATATGCATGTATGTATTTATATATATAGACATATACAAATATATATGCATGAATTAATTTGAATGTATATGTCACTGAATATGGTCACTAGCAATTTCCATGAAATAAAAAATATAGTTTATTTAGAAAGCTCAAATACTAATACAGCTCACTTCCTTTTTTAAAAAACTATAAAATCTCCTAGAATATGGATTTAAAGGGAAAAACTCCAACTAAATGAAAATCTGTCCCTAACATAATGGTTTACATCAAAACATAAGAATTGAATTGTATGCCTTTCACTTCACAATGGAGAGCCTCTGGTATTATCTGTTATAATCTGAACTTTAACTACCATTTCCTATAAAGACGCTAATTCTGCTGTAAGGTCTGTTCCTCAGCGTGTCCTGAGAACACTAAACTGCTTTCCATTTTCTCCATTGTGAGCTGTGTCTCTGTCATTTGCACAAAGTTTTCATTGAGTTTCTTGTTCCTTTATTCTTTCTTTCTTGAAAGAATGAGCTAGCTTATATTTTATGAAATATTTTCAACATAAACGAATATATAGAGAATAATGTCTTCACCTTTAAAAATTATATATATAATTATAATATGTATACTTCTAGTAATATATATTGTATATTATATATTATTTATATGTACATAATATAATGGATAATACATAATTTATATATTACATGTAATGTATAATGTAATATATAACATAATTATATAAACATAATAATACAGTATATAAAACATATATATAATATATATAAGAAGCCTCCTCTCTTTTCTGCTCCTTTCTCAGAGACTATCACTATCATAAATTTGGTGGTTATTATTCACATACATATTTTTAAACTTTTATTTCACATGTGTGTTTCCACAAGCAAAATGTAACCTTTTCAACACATTCTTCAAACTTTATATATTAAATATTTATATTTTACATTAATGTTAATACAAATAATTTCACTATTTGCCCAGAGTTGTTCTAGTTCTAGCAGATAAATAATAAAAACTAGATGTCAAACAAAACAACGTAAAGCAAGCAAAAACTTTGCCCATTAACTCTCCTGAACACTTTTAACTTATCTCTAAATCTGCATTAAAAATTATTGTAAAGATTTCTCTGCAAGTGTTTTGCAAACTAAGTAATATTTCCATTAATATTTATATACACTATTCAGAAAAAAATTTTGTGCATTTGCTGCAACAAGTAAATCTGTTCATGGATATAACTTAGGCATAATTTCTCTACTTCTAAGAAGGAAATAAAAATAATTGGTTCTGATTACCTCAAAATGTCATTTAAGTGACAAATGCTGACAATATTTACTTTGGGGTTTTGAACATCTTGGAAGATCCTTTACACATAAAAATTGAAAATGTTATTTCCCCTAGTATTCCACTTTAGGTATTA